TGTTGGAGCTGCCACTGTTGCAGCTTTCTTCTTGTTTATTTTCTTGTTCTTCTTGTTTCTTTTTTTTTCCTCCAACAACTGCTGTAATGTCTTTTGTTGTTTATCTTTTCATTCTTCTTGTTTTTTTTGCTGTTTTTGTATTGCTGCCATCAAATCTGCTAAGCTGTAGTTTGATTTGCCGCTTCTTGTTCCCATCTTTTTCTTTCTTTATTTTTTTTATCCCACTCTCTGACACCAATTTGTTACGTATCTGTTTGTTTGATAATTTCTGGTAAAAATTCTTTCCGAGTGACTTCAACAATACAAGTCCCTTCTTGATTAAAAATAGTTTGTTCTTTTTCGTTACAAACTTTGTAATACACTTAATTGCCACAGTCACTTTAAACTTAATTACTTTTATAAACACCTGCTATAATTCACAGCGATTCACCAACTTTACTTACGGTGCCTACTGCTCGCTTGACTCGTTTATCAATTATTTCTCTTCAATCTATCTCCGGCTTATATACTAAAAAATAGGGCATCTAGCAAACGCTGGGACATTCATGAGGTTGCCTGATAAGTCATGATCCTTCTAGAAACTCCAGCGTCGCGTGACTTCCGCTGTCGTATCAATATGTACAAACATCATTAATGCCATCCTTCTGAAGCTAAAGAAATTAATACTTTACTGCACATTTTGCATGGGTACCTTTATAAGTAAGCATTATTCTAATGTACAGTGCAGATAGGTTATGATCTGTATGTGTTTGCATATAAGAAAGCCACATTGGGCTATCTGCTGTGTCCACCAATGGGAATCAAACCCCTGAGTTTAGCGTTATAAACACAAAGACTTATTGCTGTCCCACCAGGGGACTATGATCTGCAGAAAAAAATTACATCTGTATTACTACTCACGTTCAGAAATGTAACATTACTCATGTTTAGAACTGTGTTATTATCACATGTTCATAACTGTATTATTATTATTCATGTTAAGAACTGTATTATTATTATTATTCATGTTAAGAACTGTATTATTACCACATGTTAAGAACTGTATTATTACCACATGTTAAGAACTGTATTATTACCACATGTTAAGAACTGTACTATTACCACATGTTCATAACTGTATTATTACACCATGTTAAGAACTGTATTATTATCTCATGTTCATAACTGTATTATTATTATTCATGTTAAGAACTGTATTATTACCTCATGTTCAGAACTGTATTATTACCACATGTTAAGAACTGTATTATTACAGCATGTTAAGAACTGTACTATTACCACGTGTTCATAACTGTATTATTACACCATATTAAGAACTGTATTCTTACCACGTGTTCATAACTGTATTATTACAGCATGTTCATAACTGTATTATTACAGCATGTTAAGAACTGTATTATTACCACGTGTTCAGAACTGTATTATTACCTCATGTTCAGAACTATATTATTGCTACATGTTAAGAACCACATTATTACAGAATGTTCAGAACTGTATTATTACCACGTTAAGAACCATATTATTACAGCATGTTCAGAACAGTATTATTACCAAGTGTTAAGAACTGTATTATTACCTTATGTTCAGAACTGTATCATTACCTGATGTTCAGAACTAATTATTACCATATGTTAAAAACCACATTATCACAGCATCTTCAGAACTGTATTATTACCAAGTGTTAAGAACCACATTATTACAGCATGTTCAGAACAGTATTATTATTATTATAAGTGAGAAGAGATAGACATAATATTATCTTGAAACTTATATTTTATTTTTAAGAAATTTAAAAATGTTGAAAATGTCTGACATTTGTAACTGAAGGCACTTACGCATGTTGAGGTACTTATGTTTCTAAATTTTGTTGATAATGCAGACAGAAGACTTGGAAGATTATAAAAGATGGCTGGATAAACTCATTGGGTGAGAACAAGAGCATTTTACATTAGTATAACTTTCCAACTTAAATATAATCTTTACATTAATATAACTGTCCAACTAAAATATAATCTTTACATTAATATAACTGTCTAACTAAAATATAATCTTTACATTAATATAACTGTCCAACTAAAATATAATCTTTACATTAATATAACTGTCCAACTAAAATATAATATTTACATTAATATAACTGTCCAACTTAAACATAATCTATACTTTAATGTAACTGCCCAACTTAAATATAATCTTTACATCCATATAACTGTCCAATTGAAATATAATCTTTACGTCCATATAACTGTCTAATTTAAATATAACTTTTTACATCCACATAACTGTCCAATTTAAATATAATCTTTACATCCATATAGCCATCCAATTTAAATATAATCTTTATGTCCATATAACTGTCCAATTTAAATATAACTTTTTACATCCACATAACTGTCCAATTTAAATATAACCTTTTACATCCATATAATTGTCAAATTTAAATATAATCTAAGTCCATATAACTGTCCATTGTAAATATAATCTTTTACATCCATATAACTAGCCAATGAAATTTTGAATCAAATTAATTTACCCAAGTCTCATCATTAGGTTATTTTTCATCAGGTACATAAACACAAAGGAAGTAAGCCTTCAAGACCAGAGAAGAATTCAAACTTTCCTAACCTGTGCCATCTCTATGCATCCAAAGCTATTCCACATTGGTAGGTTACTGTTTGAGAATCAGCCAATGGCAACGTATACTTTTATTTACTAAATTATGTTCTAAAGCTTCAAAAAGAAAAAAGAAGTTGGAAACAAGAAGTGGCAAATCAAACTACAGCTTAACAGAATTGATGGCAGCAATACAAGAACAGCAAAAGAAACAAGAAGAACGAGAAAAGAAACAAGAAGAATAAGAAAAGAAACAACAGCAGTGGCAGCTCAAACAGCAAAATAAACAAAAGAGATTACAGCAGTTGTTGGAGGAAAAAAGAAAAGAAACAGGAAGAGAGATTACAGCAGTTGTTGAAGGAAAATGAAAAGAAACAAGAAGAACAAGAAAAAAACAAGAAAAGAGACTACAGTAGTGGTTGGAGGAGAAAGAAAATGAACAAAAAGAGAGATTACAGAAGTGGCAAGAAAACCAGCACCAGTGGCAACTGGAACAAGAAAGAAAACAAGAAGTAAAAATGGAAAAGATTAGTAAATTTCAAGGTGAATTAAATACATTAAAGGACAATTTGTTGTCTTTTACACAGGGAAGATATATTAGCCATGGAACTAATCAGCCTCAGACAAAGGAGAGCCCCTTTCAGACCCCGCAGCTAAACCCTAATGCAGACATCTTCAGTTTTGCAGAAGTTACATTCCAGACATGAGTGTCAGCAATAGGGGTGACCTAGTATGAAGGAATCCACAGGAATTTGATGGTAAATCACTGTGGGAAGCATATACAGCACAATTTCAGCTCCTGGCAGAAATGGATGGATGGACAGACGAGCAGAAAGCAGTGTACCTGGCAATGAACTTGAAGGGACAACCACTGGAAATACTTGGACAGTTGTCAGCAGATGATAGGTACAACTAGTTTTAATCAAGAAAGGACTTGTATCACTGAAGCTTCTTGGAAATAATTTCTATGGGAAATTAACAAACAACCAGATATGCAACAGTACACATTAAATCACACCAACTTAAGTCTTAGTACATACTGAATAACACCAACTTTCAGTCCCACTTTCTGACACCAATTTGTTACGTATCTGTTTGTTTGTTAATTTCTAATATAATTTCTTTCCAATGAAACTTAGCGATACAAGTCCATTCTTAATTAAAACTAGTTTATTATTTCTCGATACAACCTTACAATACACAGAAGTTTCATTGTCACTTTAACTTAAACACATGCTATAATTCACAACGATTTACACCCTTTACTTACAGCTTGACTCAATTAACCATCTCTATATCTCCCAATCTGCAATTGTTTCTCCGCTTTATTTGCCGGCTTATATACTAAAAGAGATGGCGCTTAGAAAAGAGTAGAGTTGCCAGGAAGAGACATGATCCTTCTAGAAACTCATGATGTGTTACCAGCGTCATGTAACTTCCGCAGTTGTAACAATATCATACTTAATGTTGGTAGACTGTTAGACATATGTTATAGAAGTTTAAGGTATATTTCAATGTTGGTAGACTGTTAGACACATATTATAGAAGTTTAAGGTATTGTTCTGTCTCTGTTCGTTTGTTAATTTCCCATAAAAATTCCTTCAAAATACTTCAGCGATACAAGTCCTTTCTTAAGTAAAACTAGTTTATTCTTTCTCAATACAACTTTGCAATACACTTAATTTCCACAATCAATTTAACTTAAACACACGCTATAATTCACAACGAACGATTCATGCACTTACTTACTACCGAGCTTGACTCAATTGTCCGTCTCTGTCTGTCTGCAATTCTATATTGATTCATTGTCTGGCGCACTTATATACAAGAATACCACACATCTAGCAAACACTCGAGCATTCACGAACCTTCGAGAATATCATGACGTCATATTAGCGTCACGTGACTTTCAGCTGTCGTAATAGTATACTTCAATATTGGTAGACTGTTAGACACATGTTATAGAGGTTTAAGGTATATTATACTTCAATGTTGGTAGACTGTTAGACACATGTTATAAAAATTTAAGGTATATTTCAATGTTGGTAGACTGTTAGACACCTTATAGAGATTTAAGGTATATCATACTTCAATGTTGATAGACTGTTAAACAAATGTTATAAAAGTTTAAAGTATATTTCAATGTTGGTAGACTGTTAGACACATGTTATAGAAGTTTAAGGTGTGTTAACTTCTACTTTTTGTGACTTCACATTCACTGCTTGATACATTATCTTTTTTATTACTTATACAGGTTTGGAAGGGTTGTAACAGGGTATGGAAGTATTAGTACAGGGTATGGAAGTGTTGGTACAGGGTATGGAAGTATTAGTACAGAGTATGGAAGTGTTGGTACAGGGTTCAGAAGTATTGTTACAGGGTATGGAAGTGTTGGTACAGGGTATGGAAGTGTTGGTACAGGTAAGAAAGTGTTGGTACAGGTATGGAAGTGTTGGTACAAGTATGGAAGTGTTGGTACAGGTAAGAAAGTGTTGGTACAGGTATGGAAGTGTTGGTACAGGTAAGAAAGTGTTGGTACAAGTATGGAAGTGTTGGTACAGGTAAGAAAGTGTTGGTAGAGAGTAAGGAAGCATTGTTACAGGGTATGGAAGTGTTGGTACATACAAGAAGTTTTCTTCCAGCAAGGAACCAATGTTATATTTGTGTGCATGTACAATTCTACCTATAGTTTTATTTGAAAGTCATTCCTTTATCATAGAATTCTTCAAAATAACTTTTATTAAGGATGTGTAGGTTTTAGAATGCCAGTGCTTATTGACAATTCTTTTTTATATATGTTAATCTTTTTCTTTAAATATTATTAGTATTTCATAAGAATTAATAATTTGAGTTTTTTATTATATTCCATTAGAAGACATAAAAACAATTCTACAGCAAGCTCCTTGTTGGCTGAAGGAAGCAGCCATTGTTTCTGCACGAAAGACAGCATCCTCTCTAAAAAAGTCTGCCTTGCCTTCGGCAGTCACAGAACTTGATGGTGTGCCTTCATCAGAATTCTTCACTGTTCTCAGCTATGGTATGTTAAATTTTTATAGAAGGTTATTCACTTCCACTCCAAACAGAGTTGAGTGGAATATAGTAAACTGATCTTAAATCCTAGTTATACAAGTAGGAAGGTAAACAATAGACTGATATCAACTTGTTGTAAACTGACCTTAAATCTAAGTTATACAAGTAGGAAGGTAAACAATAGACTGATATCAACTTGTTGTAAACTGACCTTAAATCTAAGTTATACAAGTAGGAAGGTAAACAAT